ATGGAACTGGAGGCCATTATCTGAAATGAAATGACTCAGATACAGACAAATACCATGTAGTCTCACTTATAACTGGGAGCTAAATACTGTGTACCAGTGAAATCAGAGTTTGGAATGATTGACAATGGATATATGCAGAGAGGGGTCAAGGGGGCTGAGAGTGGGGTGGATGATGGGAAGTTGCTTGGTGGGTACACTATGTATTTCTCCAGAGATGTATGTATGAAGGTCCTGATTTCACCACAATACAGTGTATCAGTATAGCAAAATTGTATTTGTAACCCATGAATATATGCAAATAAAAAAATGGGAAAAACCTAAAACAATAAAACATAAACTTTAAATTTAATTATGTGGCTGAAAAATGGAAAGTAGTTTTAGTTGGTAGATATATTCTTAGAAAGTTAGAAAAGCCATCTATTTCAATGGTGTATTAGAATATTTGGGAGGTTCTGATCATGAATCTCTATTTTAATAAGCTTCCCAGGTGATTTTTATGCACACTAAGGTTTTATATCCACTGCTGAATTCTCTACTGACAGCTTTTAGGATTTGGCCTGTCTCTTCTGATGGAAGCCCTTTTTTCCCAGTTGGGAAAGAACAGAGGTAAACTGAGTAAGCTGTTCCTAATGAACTACCATTCTGTATATCATGAAATTTTCAAAACTTTCAGGATCAGCCTTAGTTGAAGGATAGTGAGGTCTGTGAACAGCCTTCTGCTCTAAGTCCTTTCTCAACTGAGGCTCTTATGGTGGAGGAATGTGTGACATTAATGGTGATACAACCTTGTGTAATGTGTCAGAGACTTCACTTACGTTTCTTAGCAAGGTAGGAATTGCAGGTGAGGAATTGTATGTCAGAGAGCTTATGATGGTCTTCTTAAGCTTCTCAACCTTGTAACTAAGACTGATGTATTTTAAAACTCAAACTCTTGATTATATACATGCTACTCTTCTTTTTAGTGGAATGGGTATGGGCTGTGTGTCAGATAGCTTTGGGTAGAAGGATGGTTATATTGATTACTCATTTTTCTAGTGACTTACACTTCCCTAAACTTTGGTGTTCTTCATCTGAAAGTGGGCATATCTCTTACATTCTAAGATTATTGTGAGTATTAATGACCTAAAATATATTTTTGGAGTGCTTAGTATAGTTCTGTCCCAGAGTAGGCATTCCAGTATGGTGACTATTACTCAGCAATTTAAGATAACACATAAAATGCAAATAGGCCTTATGAAGTTAACCAATTCTTGGTTAAATGAGTTTTTAAAATTTTGAAATACCATATGCTTTTCTGTTCTGATGTGATGTAATAGTTAGAAACTAGGGAAGCACTGGATGTATGAAGAGATTTTCCTTTGGGAAAAGAATGCAGGCCTCCATTTTTTTAAACTACCCATATCCTAGCAAATTCTAAATATGGTTTTATCACAGACACTTCTTATAGCTCCAGAGTCATCTTCTAACTTGAAACATTTAAATTGAAATGCTTACAGGGTATCTCGAACAGGTAACTACTTAACATGTCTAAGTCTAAATTTAGCTTCTTTCCCCTTTATGCCTGATCTTCTTCCAGGGTTCCTTATATCAGAGAATAGAATTGCTATCCATCTGCATCTTCTACAAAATCTAATCTTCTACCAAGTTCTGTTGATTGTTATCCCATAAATCACTTTCTACCTTCTCTATCATCACCACCATCAGTGTTGTCTAAGCTACTGTCATTTTGCATCTAATTCCTCCCCTTTCATTTCTCTTATCTCTTTCCATGATTCAGCCAAATTTGGTATTTTTTCAAAGTAGAGTTGATTGTCATGCCTTATTTACAACTCTTCGTTGACTTTGCTGGCTTTTTCTGCCTCATTTGTTTCACCTGCTTCCCCTCTCCAGCAATGACTGGACTTTCTGCCTGACCTTTCTTGACTTTGTGCTAGCCTAACACCTGCTTTTGAGCCTTTGCTTTTGCTGTGCCCCAGACTAGAACACTTCCTATACCTTTCAGATCTAATCTCAATTGGTCTCTCTAAGACCTTTGTTGATCTCTGGGCTAAATCAAGTCTCCTGTCAAAAAATTTCATGGCCCCTTCACCCCATATTTTTAAATAGCATCTATCTCTGTTTGCAAGTAAATATTTGCATGGTTATTGGATGTTATCTGTTTTCCCAAATAAAATATAAGTTCCATGAGGGCTGAGACAATTTCAGTACTTACAAAGACCTAGAATGGCCCTTACAGTAGACAACAAATATTAAATAACTGACTGAAATATCTAATTAGATAATTAAAATACAAAGTGACTAATTCTAAAGTGACCTAAGTATAGATAGGGTCACAGTGTTGGGCCCAATGTTAAGCATTGCTATTTGGGAATACTTGAGTTATTGTAACATGGCTTTGATCTGACTCTATTTTCTATTAAAAATAAACACAAGTAGCATTTTAAATTTTGAATTACCCAATACAGGTTAAGAGCTTCCCAGAAATCGATTATACTGTACTTGAATGAGCTTTAAAGTAAAAATTTACCCCTTTTTTGAACCTGCACAGTATTTGAGGTTTACAATTCAAAAAGGATATAGCTGGTTACATGTATCTTGATGTTTACTATGTGGAATATGTTCATTTATTTTAGTTGTCAAGGCATAAAAATTTAAAAATTCTACCAACTTTGTGAAGACAAGAAATCATAGATATTTTAATAGGTTTCTCAGCTCTTATGAAAGTTAGAAAGAAATCAAGAAGGTTGAAGTAATATTGGGATTATGCTTTTATGTTGACTATTTTGTATTTGAGCCTTTATGTTGGCAGATTGAAGTATATTTGTGAAAACTTCTAAGATTTTAGTATTTTCTTGAAAATTGGTTTAGTACTGTTGTTTACATTTTAAAATTAGTGCTTTCAATAAGATTTTGGTTTTCATCTGTCCTGAGTTCTCCCTAGGAACACACAATTTCAAAAAAAAGAGGCACAGTCAGCAGAATAAAGAGGTGGTCTGAGCATTTGTGCGTTAAATATGCATGTTAATTATGAAAAAATTAGGAAAATATGAAAACAGATGTTACATAAATTATTGCAGTCCCAGGGCAGCAGTAACTTACATACTGACAATAATTTTTATATGTGCATGTGTATATCTATTTCTAGATTTCTCAATATTTATGTAATTCCTAGGAGAATAACTAGAAAAAGAACTGGTATATCCTTTCAGTGAGACTATGGTAAACATTCCTTCTGCATATGGATTACTGAGGAAGTTTTATTGTTTCGTACAGTTTTACTGTAGAGATGGTCTTCTGAGTTTCCCAATTCTGCCCATAGTATTCTTTTTTCCCCTCCTTTCTTTGTTTCTCTGCTGATTTGCTAATTTGTTCTTTTATTGGCTATATCTTGTCACAACAAGAAGGTTAATTAATGATCCTAGCAGTGTAAGAAATTGAAAATTGGCCTAAAATTAAAAATTGATCTAAAGTGTTTATTTAGAAATAATACAAATTACAGCTACTCAGGACACTGATTGTAGTGCCATTTTTTCTTTTTATTACATCACACTTTCTGAAGAAATTGCTATCATTCTCTGAATAGTAGTGACATAGTATAAAAGTATGACAATATATATTGTGTTACTTAAATGCACATTCCATCAAATACACATATGCTGGGGTAGTTGAAAGATATTTGAGTACCTTTCATATTAAAGAGCCATCCATAGGATGAAAATATTCTGTATTTTTAAAAAGGAAAAATGAGAAATAGAAGTATGCTTTGTATTAGTGGTGTAGTAATTTTTAGTTCAATCATACAAGAAAAACCATGTGAATATATTGCTGTCCAAGGGTAGCTGACAATATATAGGTATTTTCCACATATGTAATGTAATTTAGGAATGTTGTTTGTAACTTCTGAAATAAGATTGAAATTTTACTTCAGAATGTAATAAAATCATTCTCTTTACCAAACAAACATACAAACAAATAAAATGTGAATTGTATGCAATAAAAGGGATATATCTATAAGGGCAAAAAACAGTTTCTGGAAATCCTATTTCCAGAAGGGTGACTTTGTTATTTTGTTTTACTAGCATGTGATGTTAAAATGTGTTTGAAGTAATTAATTTCTATTAAATCTTAATAGGTTTCAGCTAGATCTGTTATCATGTTTTTCAGTTCCATGTTATTGATTTGTGTTTTAAATTATATTACCTAACTGCTGCTATCTTTTTGTACATGTGCTCAACCACCCAATAAACTCTTACCAGCTTATTGAACATTAAGAACTAATAGAGAATGAAATCTAGAGGAGGGTGATAATATGTTTAGTGATTGGTTTATTATTAAGAAGTTCTTTACTTAAATTGGATCGCCCATTTAAGAAATTAAGTTGTCATTTTTGTATATTGTATATAAATATATCTGTCATTTATGATCTGTGGTAAAGTATTCTAAAGATAAGCTTTTTTTCTTTTTCTCTAGAAAAATGCTATAGAAATTTAATTATTAACTCACAAACAATATTTGTCATCACTGATGTATCTGTATTCTAATTTTACATATTAATGCTTTGAATCCATTTTTAATGGAATTTTTTTCACATTTGTTTTCAAATGTCAAATTTCCATTTTTTATATTATGTGATTTTTAAATTGTGATATTATCTTACTAACTATGTGTTAGAATAGTATGCTTGGTATTTTAACACATCATTTCAGTGAAAAGTTAAATGAAGTTGTAAGAGGTGATTTGTTGTATAGTGAGGCCTTTTTATTATATATACATATAATAAAAATATTATAATGTCATTTATTGTTAGTATTATAAAATGCCTTCCTTTCTTCCAGGAGTTAAAGTAGATAAGGAAGTGACTAATGAGTACACTAATATTTGTCCTCAGAGCACCTAAAATATTTTGACATGAATTTTTTTAGCCTGCATTTTGTATTTTTTATATGGTTAGGGTTCCTTATGGATAGGAGAATTTGAAGCTATTTTATTTCTTTTTCTAGGTTGATGCTATTTTTCCAGCTGCTCAGTTGAGGGAAAACTTGGCTGGTCTCTATTTCTTGATTCTTCTTCAATTCCTGTTTGCCTACCAAGACTTGTATTTGGAGAACTCTATCATATTGAGGGTGAAGTCAACTTAGAACCTATAAGAACATGCCTTCTCAAGTGTCAGCTAGATTTATGGACCAGTAAAGTTATTCTGAAAGGTAAGCATACATTTATTCAAAATGTACACTTAAAAATGGAATACTCTCAATATCCTTGCTATAGTAATATATTCTGTAGATTTGTGTGCAAAAAAGCATATGAGGTGTGTTTGTACACTTCTGCCAAATTTAGACTGTAGGCTCCTTCACAGAATAATGTTGCCCCTCCAACACAGTTACTCATTTTCCTGGTCTGTTTCTTTCCACCTGCTACATTCAGTTGTCAGTTTCCATTCTTTTCCCTTTCTTTATTGTTTTTCTTCTCATTTAGGTGAGTGAGTCTTCACAAGGGCTTTAAAAAATGTTTTCCCACCAGCAAATGTTAGTAGTTTTCTTAAGGAACACTTTTTGTATTTATAGGCCCTTTCTTTTCTATTTTTACCCCTTTTGGGCATTTACTATATTTGTTAAAAGAGCAGGAAATTAGAATGATTAAACTTAGAGTTAAAGGTATCTCAGATAGGTAACATTCACAATTTTTTTCCCACCACAACTCATAGTAAGAAATAAAATTTACATTAATGAGCCAGTTCCCACAGGTATAAATGAAACTGAAACAAAAGTTGAAATAATTCTTAGGCTAACTACCTGGGATGTGCTCTGTCTGTATTATATTCTTTGTATGTTTCACTTAATACTTACAAGTATATGTCACCTTTGCAATTTCAGAAACCCTGCTTTAGATTACTTGTATGTTTATTCATGACTGATTTATTAGGAAAGTAAAAGAAATTTGGCAATTTCTTTTCTGCCTCAGTCAAGTTGCCTTTTCTATCTGCTCTATGCTTCTCATTGCTCCCCCAAATTCAGTATAAGTTATCACTGACTTAGTGAAAGAACTGGGTAACTGAATACCAGAGCCCTTACTGGGTTCCTGTGTAGTCAAAACACAAGTACAGATAGTAAGATCTCAAACTTTGAAAGGAGAATAAATCTTTGATAGAATCATGCCTTTATACTCTAGTAAGGTATATATCTCTTCATTCTCTCCCTGTTTGTTTTGTCTGTGTTAATTGTATGTGCATTCTGATGCCCTCAAATCATTCTTGGTGTGAAACATTTCTTTCTAAGTCCTGAATATCAGCTGAGAATAACCTAGATCCTTTCCTGAAGTGTTCTATTCTAGTACCTATTCCTGTTTTATTTAAAATTTTTATCCTTATAATAAAGTGCATGCATTTTTTTTTTCCTGATTATAAAAGTAGTATTTTGTGTTAGAAAGTTTGGTAGATATAGAAAAGAGTAATGAAGATAAAAATTATCCTCAATCCTAGTCTGCAGAGATGAATTGATATAACATTTAAAAAGTAAAATTTATTATTTTTAATTTTACTTGAATTTAGCACAGGAAAAAAACTGAAGTGAAGCTTAAAGGACTAATGAACCTCAGATAAATGTTTTTTTCAAAACCATAAATAGTTTCTAAGAGACTTCCGAAGTTAAAGAAGATTATGGAAGTCTGGAAATATCTAAGTACTTGGGAAATAAGAAAATAGTGAAGGGTGCATTAAAAGCAGAGTATCTTTTTATTTTAAGATAATTTTTTGAGGTGAAATTTATTTAACGTAAAACTAACCATTTTAAACTGAATGATTCAGTGTCATTTAGTACATTCCCAATGTTGTGCAACTTACCACCTCTATTTAGTTCATCACTCCAAGGTAAAATATCTTACCCATTAAGTAGTTTCTCCCATTCTCCCATACCCCTACCCTCTGCTGTCTATCAATCTGTATTTGTGTCTCTATGGTTTCATCTAGTCTGTGTATTTCAGAATGTAATCATACAATATGTGACCTTTTGTGTCTGACTTCTTTCACTTAGCACAATGTTTTCAAGTTTTATCCATGTTGTAGCACTTATTACTTCATTTCTTTTCTTGGCTGTAACATCTTGTTGTATGTATACATGACAATTTCTTTATCCCTTCATTCATCCATGAACATTTGGTTTACTTCTCCCTTTTGGCTATTGTGAATTGTGCTGCTATGAACATGTATTTATATATAACTGTTTGAGTATATGTTCTCAATTTTTATGTGTATCTTCCTTGGAGTGGAATTATTGGGTCATATTGTATTTCCATGTTTAACTTTTTTCGGAATCACCAAACTGTTTTCAACAGCGGGTGTACCATTTTACATCCTTGCCAGCAATCTGTGAGGGTTCCAGTTTCACTAGATCTTGCCTATACTTGTTATTTTCGTTTTTTTATGTGTAAGTATTGGAATATCTTACGATAGTGACAAATAACTTTCAGCAAGGTAAAGAAATGATTATATATTTCTTACATATTATATTTCTTATATAGTGATTATGTTTTAATTCAGAATATGACTTAGTTCTATTTTCTTTGAAGAATTAGCTGACCAGTGGATCATTTTTTTTTTTGCAGAATAAAGGGTTTCTTACTGTTCTTCATTTGCTCAAAATCAAACATTTTGTTTCACATTTCTACTGTGATTTTTTTTTGTATATGTAGTTTTTTTGTTTTTATCAAAGTTTTAAATTGCCATTGTTTTTGTTTAGTGTTCATAAGAGATCTATACTTCTATTTTTATTGATAGCACACCACAGTGCAACACAGCTGTACTTCTAGGCTTCTAAATCATAAAATAACATTTCTGTAAGATTATTTACACTCTTTTGGAATAAATTTTCCACTTAACCTTGACCTTCTATTATGAACCAGAGCTTCCGTGGCCTTTTGTTGATGTGTCTTTCCGAGATTTATTGTCATTATATTATGGGGTTAGTTCTACTGTTATTTATATCCCATTGTTATCATCATTCTTAGATTCGTTTAAGTAAAATTTCAGAAAGGTTAAATAAGAGATGACTTTTCTGAGTTGTGCATATTAGAAATGCTTTTATTATAATTCTTACAGTTGATTGATACTTTTGCTGGGTATATGTTTCTGGGTTTAAAATTATTTTCCTCAGAACTTTGAAGGACTTTGCTCCAGTATTTTCTACTATTCATTATTCCTTCTGAGAAATTTGAAGCCAGTCTTACTCATGGAAGATGCTTTTAGAAGCTGTCATGGTGAAAAAAAAAAACAGACAAAAATCCTTAAGTTGATTACACTTACATTTCAGGGTAGAGAAGTTGACAAGTAGTAAGGTAAATAAATAAAATATGTAGAAGGTTAGTGATTCTATGAAGAAAGATAAAGCAAGGAGTGGGAGTTAGGGATTTCAGAATATAGGGAGAGGAATGGAAAGTTTAATGGTGTTCAGGGAAAGCCTCACTGAGAAAGTAATATTTGAGTACAGAACTGAAGAAGGAGAGCGAATAGGCATCTTAAGCAGAGGGAACAGGAAGGACAAAGGCCCTGAGGCAGGAATATTACTGGTTCAAGAAACAGCCTCAAGGTCAGTGTGGCTGTAGCAAAATGAGTAGAAAGTAGTAGGGATTAAATTAGAAAAGTAACTGGGATTCTGGTTCTTCTGAAAACTTATATTTGGCTTTTATTCTAAGTGAGATGGGGAGCCATTGGTGAGTATCATCATCTCTGGTTTATGTAATAGTTTAAAAGAATTACTGGCTCCCAGCTTGAGAATAGATTTTAAGGGAGAAAGGGCAGAAGCAGAGAGACCATGAGAGTTAATTGTAGTCTGAACAACAGGGTTTCCTGATGGATTGGTTTTTAACACATGAGAAAGAGATGGGTCAAGAATGACTGCAAAGTGTTTGATCTGAATAACAGGAAAGACTGAGTTTTCTTTAATGCAGAGGGGAAGATTATAAAAGGAGTACATTTGCGGGAAAAGGTTGGGAGTTTGGTTTTGCACATGTTAGGAGACAGTTAGATAGAGTTGTTCAGAGTTAGGCAAGAGGTCTGGGATGAAGGAAAAATGATGGAGGTTGACAGTTGCAGATGGAATTTAAAAGTGTAACATTGATGCAATGCGGTAAATATGGACAGAGAAGATTTGAAGTCCTAGTCTTAGGTCACCTTAAGTAAAGAGGTTAGGAGAAGAAGAAGAAGAATTGGTAGAGGAGGCCAGGGAAGGGGGAACCCCAGTGAGGTAAGAGGAAAAACCAGTTGTCTTTCAGAATATCTGAAAGTGATGGAAGTGTTTCACGGAAGGAGTAGTAATCATCTGTGAGAAATCTTACTGATAGGCGAAGTTAGAGATGGACTCTGCAACTTGTCTGTTAGGTTTAGCAATGGGAGGTCACTGATGACTTTGAGAGGAACAGCTTCAGTAGCGGATAAAAGATCTGATTGGAATGGGTTCAAGTAAGAGTGAGGGGAAAAACATGTGGTAGCTTAAGAGGGAAGTTAGGGTCAAGAGAGGATTTTCTTAAATAGGAGAAAAATAATATACTAATGGAAGTACTCTAATAAAGATGAATAAATTGATGATTCAAGAAGTAGTGGAGAATTGTTAAAGTATTTTTCACAAGTGGAGAGATTGCCTTAAATGGGAGCATAGGTGGCTTGTTTCTTTTTATTTTATTTATTTATTTGAGATAGGGTCTTACTTTGTCACCTGGGTTAGAGTGCAGTGGCATCATTTTAACTGACTGCAACTTCAAACTCCTGGATGTAAGTGATCCTCCTGCCTTAGCCTCCCAAGTAGATGGAACTACAGGTGTATGCCACCATGCACAGTTAATTTTTCTATTTTTTGTAGAGATGAGGTCTTGCTCTTACTCAGGCTGGGTTTATTCTTAATAATAGGAAGGAAGGTATGGTATTTGGGGACAGATCCATCTTTAAAAGGCCATTGGTTAAGCTTTGCACTACCTCCATAATATGTGACATCCAAGAAGCATCATAATAAGCTGCTTCCCACTTCTTTAGGCTTCTCTTATAATTCTTACTCTGTTGTGGTTTTTGCCGTATACTTGCTAAATGTAAATATATGGTGGTTTCCAATTTAAGAATTTTGTGGTAAAAAAATTCTGTTAATGAAATTAAGGCATACAAAAGGCATTTATGAATGATATGCCTCTTGATGTTTTTGAAAAGTTTCAAGTTTGTAAATAT